TGTGTATATATATATATATATATATAAGGCAGTTGAAAAGTGACCTGGACATGTTTCCATGAGATTCACTCTTTTAACATGTTTCTGTGAAATTCACTCTTTAACATTTACCAGCGGATAACCAACATTCTTGTGTCTAAAAACAGCATAAATCCCCATCTTATTGCCTTGAGGGACTTTCAAATAACCTGTGAACCATTTTTTATGTTTTCCATAGGTTGCTCCTCAGTAGCACAACATTGATTTTTAACACACAGCTCAAGATACAAAAGCTCACAGCTCACAAGCTTTTTCAGGAACCAATGGAAGCCTTCTCATCATGTTGCAATATATGGAGAGGGCTCAGAGACAACCCAAAGACAGAGAAACAAAACTGCTAATCAATGGGAGAGGAGGCGGGGGCCGACATATGTAGTTTTTTTTTGCTCCTAGTGGCTGTTTCTGTTTCAGTTGTGGTTTATTTTTATTGTAGGACAGTGATTATCCTAAAGTGAACAGGGTATGTGTGTGTGCACATATATATCAATTGACAACTGTTCATTTGAAGCTGCTACATATTGTGCTAATACCTTGTAGACTGCCTTCTCATATGCTACAATGAGAAACCTTTAGTGTCTGTTAGCTTGTAAGATCAGGTGATTGAGGCATTCTTTTATCAAAGCCACAGTATTTAACATTTTGTACTTGAAGTTGGTACAATAAATTGAGTTGTGTAAATGAATGTGTTCACTCTCGACTAATATAACTTGAATCAGAGAATATAGTTCTGCCTTGGTGTCATGTGTAGGTTTTCTACCACAGCCACAAGTTGCAGTTTTTAAAATTGATGTATGGATGCTTTAGATGCTTTTTTTATCCTACAGACTCAGTTTGATTCAGAGGGATCATCAGAAGCTTCACTTTGCTTGTAAACTCTGGGTGTCACTGCTGATTGCAGAAGATATTATAATTTTTTAATGAATCTTCTATTTATGCAATAAGAGCTCTGACTCTTCAACATTGTTGACTATCCAAACACTGCTTTGCTTACCTCTGATGTTTTTCTTTACATTAACACAACTTAAATGTTGTAAGGTGTCAAACTTGAAAAGTGTCCATATGATTTAATAATGGAAATCATCTTGCAAGGTACACTCTTCAGTATGGTTTATTCTGTTAAGCCTCAACTCATTTAAGGCATTTAAGGATTTTCAATATGATATTTGCTGGGTAAATGTCTAGGATTTTCAGACCTGAATGAGGGGGAGGAACTTGTTTACAAATGGCTTTCATAACTCAGCCAACCAACCGTTTTTGGCAAGTTGATCATAACACTGTTCTTTTTAAAACACATTATTGTAAGTGAACAGTCAAATTCACTGCAGCTTTACTGAATGATTTTAGTTTCATTGCATACAGACTAGGATCTGCATTTTTTTTTTAATTAGAGCATTGATTAACATTGTATTTTGAATCAATGTTTAATTAAATAAACATTAGTTTTACGCACCACTCTGTGAGTTCTGGGATTTTGTGTTGTGTTAGTTTAATTGTTAAACTTGAACAAAAGCATAAGCAAAAAAAACAAAGGCAATATGAGTACACGTCATATGAACTATGTCAGTCTGTAGCATTTTCTAGTAACGTTGTTGACATCATTTATTTCAGTCCATGAATGATGTTACTCTCAGCTACTCGATATAACCTCAAATGAGTTACATCACAGACAGATTGACCACATACATACACTGAAATATAGAGAATACTGAGATGAATTCAGAATTGAGATAAACTGCAAATAAATAAATTCACTTTCAAAGTTTCCAAAAACAAAACAGATTTAGGAAAGATGTGATTGTCATTGCTTATCCAGTGAGACCACTAAAAACCAAGTGCTGACGCCAAAGAATCATGCACATAAATAAGTAAAGTAATAAAAGGACAACTTGAACACGTCCTGTTGATCATAAATACTGTTTTTGCCTGAATGAGTGTCACTGGAACTAAAATTATCTGAGGATTTTGAATGGGTTGTAGGAGACACTAATTAAACTGTCAAAATAAAAAACTTCAACACAAATAATTTTTTTCCTCCTGTGCAACTATTTATAAATTTCTAGGTCAACTGGGCAAAAATATCCCATTATCCTCCAAAGCCACAGATCTTGCTCTTGCCATACATTCTGTTCCATTATCACCATTAGCCAGTTAAAAGGTCCCTCTTCTAATTTCATCTCTCTTTCCGTCACTGTTAAATCATTCTTTCATACTCTCTCAAAACGTCTTGTTTATACTGGCAGTTCTTCTGGGGTCCTTGGACAAAATAGCTCAGTACTGATCTTACTGCCATAATTCCATGTCTTTTGGAGAATTTGATTATAATCTGATTTGTGGTTTTTACAGAAGACTGATAAATATTAATGAACTAAGAATTCCATCTGCTGCCCACAACTGAGCCTAACGTATCACTTTAGTGGAATAACTTAAATAACTCATTCATTCTTCTTAAAATGCAATTCCATCACCTCTTGCACTTTTTTGGACGGGTTAGATCGATGTTACTTTGTGTCAAAAAACACACACAAAAAACTGTATACCTGCCAGAAATTGATCACAGGGCAGTCAGTGCTCTCTCCAAGCTGCTTTGCTCAGGACTGTCTTGGCCTAAAGGGGAGCAGGTACCCAGCTCGTCTCTCTCCTCTGGGTAACTGTTTGTTTTGGGCAAAGTCATTTGCAATGCACACCAAAGAGCGGTCCGGGCCTTTCTGGTGCTGCTGCACAGGTCCTTCACTGCAGACGCCAACAGAAGGATCTCTGTGAGATGTGAAAAATATATATATATATATTTTTTTTTTTTTTTTTTTTCACCTTTTAACACACAAGATGCAAGAACTAAGCAAATGTTCTGTTACTAAAGGCTGGAATACACTACACAATTTTTGCCACGATTTTCCGCCAATTTACTATCTGGATAAGTTGACGCTATTTGGCTAAACTCAGAGCCAGTCTGAGGATTTGAGATGACAGATTTCATAGAAAATCACATTATGGTCACAGACTCCAATATTTTAGCTGCAGACTTTGATTCCATCCAGTCGGAGGATATCAAACATGTTTGATATTTTCAGCAGATTTTAGAACACGTTGTTTCATGTATGATGGACAGTTTTTAAATTTGGTAAGTGTATGATGCCCAGTATTTTAAAATCTGTTCAGATTTTAAAAGTCGTGTAGTGTATTCCAGCCTTAAGCAGTAAAACTAAGGCTGAGTGGGACTTTACCAAGCCCTGTCATCTTCCACTTTTCTAGGATTGTAGCTTCACGCTAGTTTATATAAGATTTTGTATTTTTGTATGTGTATTTCCTGGTTTTGTTATAGTGTATGACTCACTAACCCCTGTCCTCTCTAAAGAAGGCCGCTGGCTGCCTCTGTCTGCTGCTGGCATTGATGAATTCGTCCTTGCGGCGTGCCTGAGTGATGTAGATGACCTCAAGATGCCTGTCCAATGCTGAGCCAACATTAGCATGAAGCGGAAAACTGCGCAACTGCTCCATCTTGCCTAGCAAACCTGCCACCTACAAACAATGCAATTCTACATTATAATATAGAAAATTCATTCATTTTTGCTACAGTTTAAAACACTTACAATTTAATTCTAGAATATAAGATCACAGACGGCAAAAATAGAAATGATACATATGTGTAAAATATTCACTTTCTATGAAGTTGTTAGTTTCTTTTTTCCACCCACCACTATTAGATTACTATTACTTACTATTAGATGTAAAACCTGAAGACAACATAACACTATGGATGTCAATAGAATAAAATCATTTTGATTATTCTCTCATGATTACATAATACTATTCATAATAATTTATTTTCCTTTACATTTTTA